TCTGCTCCTGCTTCTTCTGAAATCAAGACAGAAAATCTAGATTTAGAAGAAAAGTTTGCTCAACTAGAAGCCAGCAACAAAGAGATCAAAATATGGATGGTCAAGCAAGAACAAACCACAGATGAGATTAAAACTTGGATGTCTAGACAAGAGGAATCTAATGCTCAGATTACAGACCTTCTGATTCTCTCGCCAACCTTAGTTGATTTTTCTGTTATGTTTGTGCACCTGTTTGCTATTTTTTGTTGTTGATGTTATTTTGTTGTTTATCTGAATATTTTCTGAATATCTGTTTATCAATGAACTTGGTTGTTTCTTTATCTGTTTTTATGTCTTTTTTCTCTCTGTTCTACTTTTCTGTCTTAAAATGTTTTTCTTTTTAATTATGACAAAAAGGGGGAGAAAAAGGGGGAGAAAAATAAATTCTGATTGTTCAAAAATAAACAGTTACTAAAATGGAATTCAAACGTAATAAATTATAACTAACATTGAATTTTAGTCTTTCAGAACTATAACATATCATCTGACAAAATTCATTGAAGTTACCCTGAGAATCCCCAAACCAGACCTTAATTTAAACTAGGTTCTGATTACCAGGCTCTGATTCTGGAAAGTAAATCAAGCTCTGATTCTGGAAAGTAAATCAAGATCTGATTCTGGAAAGTAAATCGAGCTCTGATTCTGGAAAGTAAATCAAGATCTGATTCTGAAAAGTATATTCTAACCAGGCTCTTAATCTGAAAAGTATACTCATGCAAAAAGGGAAGTATTTTCTTCTATTAGAGTATTCATTTCAGGGGGAGATTCTTTATCTCAGGGGGAGTTATATATTTATCCTTTTATTGAACAAAATTTCCTATGTTTTTGTCATCATCAAAAAGGGGGAGATTGTTAGAACACGGATTGGTGTTTAATATATCTCTATGTTTTGATGATAACACTAATGAAATTTTGTATTAAGAAAATATATACTCTAATTTTGTTCAAGTGTTTTTGTGTCAGATACTAAAATAAATATTCTTATGGAAGCAAAAATGCATCTGAACATTACGCTACGCAAAGCTCTGAAGCATTAGAAGCAAGTCATCAGAAGACTCTGAGCGCTGTCAGAAGAGACTCTGAAGCAGAAGCTGTAGAAGACTCTGAAGCAGAAGCTGCAGAAGACTCTGAAGCGTAGTTGAAGAATTTGTATGAAGAGTTTCAAGCATTGTTTCAAGGAGACTCTGAAAGTACTTTTTGCTGCAAGTACAGAGGCTCTGATATTCAAACTCTGCTCTGATTGATATTCACGCTGAAGCACATTGGCTGCAAAACTCTGATAACATCAAGACTCTGATGTTGATAACTTTGAGACAGAAGCTTGTTGAAGAAGATATTATTCAAAGATATATCTGTTGGCTATTCCAAACGACTCTTTCCTTTTTCATGTATGGCACAGGAAATCAGACAAAAGAGATTTGTCTGAACATTCCTCTTCTAGGAAAGCTAAAGTCAATAGAAGACAAAAGGCTACAGCTACTCTGTTACGCACAGTCTTCAAGCATTGGACTTTCTGCTCTATAAAAGAATGTCTTCAACACCATTTCAAAGTTGACGATTTATCTTGACGATTTGACGAATTCACGTATTATTGAGAAATCAAATTGAAAACTACTCTCAAGCTCTCATACAATATTTTTCATAAGATGAATAGTTTTTATTCGTTCTTAATTTAAGTGTAAAAATCACAGTTGTGATATAGCTTTTTAGAAGCATCTTAAACACTTGTTAGTTTACATTTATTTGTAAAAGATTCCTTAAGAAGACCAAGTTGTGGTCAGGATTTCTTAAGAAGACTAAGACAGTTGTTCTTAGTGGTTGACACTGTAATCTGTTTGAATATAGTGGATTAAGTCCTTGTTGAGAAAGGCAAATCACCTTGGTAGGGTGGACTGGATTAGTTGAGTTCAACGAACCAGGATAAAAATACTATGTTGTTTTGATTGCCATAATTATTTCAAAACCCTTATTCAAGCCCCCTTCTAAGTGTTTTTCTCACCTTCAACATCTTCATCTTCTTCACCTCGTGTGTTCATCCTCTCTTGCTCGATAATTGGAGAAACTACATATATCATTTCAAGATTATCCCATATTTTCTTGGCGGTTTTGCAATTGTGAACATAAAATAATTTAGTATCATCTAGAGACATTACTATAAAACTCTTTGTTTTGAAATCTATTTCAAATCTTCTTTTTCTTCTTTGGTCCAAAGAAATTTGGATTTATTTACTACTTTATCATTTACTTGATTAGTAGGGATAAATGTGGCATTGATTAATGTTTCCCAAAATTCATAACTAATGCTTTGAAGAAAAGTTCAAATTTAGCTTTCCACAATTTAAATTACATACTATTAAAAGGTGGAGGTGTGTTTAGAAAAGATCTCTTGTTGAAAATCATGTTCCTCCTTAGACGATTAGTCTTTAAATAGGAGTTAGGCTATGGTCTCAATTGATGGACATGTGACTTCACACACAATATAGGGGTGGATTGTGTGTTTCAGAAAAAATTGAGTTTGAAAAACTTTTTGGATTAATTTCATTATTTATCGAAAAAATTTGAAAATACGCAGCAAAAAATAAATTCAAAAAATAAATTGCAGAAATTAAAAGTTAAGGGAAGAGAGAAGACATCAGGAATTATACAGGTTCTGTCAAAATCGACTTAGTCATTTGTCTTCAAGATTTGATCTTGACGTTATCAAACAAACTTAAGAGCTTTTAATAGGTTTAACTCTCGAACCCCCTTATACAAGAAAAAAGAAGTTTGTGACTAACTTATAACCAAACCGCAAACAGAGAGATGTGTTGATCCTTCAAATGATTAATCAAAGCGGTTAATCTTCTTTCAACAAGAAATTTAGAGTTGTTATTATTCAAGCTTTAAACCAAGATTTTACATTCGCTAATCTTGAGCCTGAGAGAGCTTTTAACACTTAGATGAGATCACAAACCGAACTATGGTTTTATACCAGACTAACCAAGAACCTGTAATATTTTACATTTGGATTTATCTCCAACCTTAATAAGCTTTTAACATTGGGTTGAGTTTGAACCAAAAGAAAACTTTTCCACTCGCTGAGCCTTCTAACTGAACTTTGGACTTAATATATAAATCCCCAAAATCAATCTTTTAGCAAGTTTAGCTTAAAGTTCAAATAAACAATTCTTAAATGGATGAACTATTCAAACAAGGTAAAAACAAACTTCCTTGGTGAATTTATAAACTATCCTTACAGAATTACAACTGCCTCACTTGCAAAATGACTTTCTCGAAAGTGTTACGCCTAAACTTTTAGTGAGAGAAAGTGAAAAAAAAATATTTTAGAAAAAGAGTGAGGAATGAGGAATGAAAGCTCACGTTTATAAATGTGAAATATGTGGAAAAGAACCTTTATATTTAGGCTAGGGGTTGGCGTAAAAAAACAGAAAATGTTTTGAGGTCATAACTAATGAATCAATCGATTGGCATCATGCATCAATCAATTCGTATACCTAAAAATAATCTATTAGCAAGTTAAAAAAAAAAGGTAAGAAAATATGTATAGTCGTTTTCTATCATTAAGATAATGTCCTAATTGCATAGAGTGCATTTTTGAACTGGCCTAACCAATTGGGTTAAGGTGTCAATTGCAAAAACGAAAATTTGCCCAGAGCTTTTGTGACAGCTCCCTATATATGTGTTGTTAATCTGTTAAAATATTATGTGGATTACATATGCGGGTATAGAGTATGATTTGTTTCAGAAAGGTGGCGATGAAGTCGTTTTTCTAGCATGTTCCATTTTTATCGAGGCACAGAATGCCTTGGGTTACCGGCGGTAGAGGATGAGCCATGGGGTTAGGATTAGACATATGCAGTAGGTTATGTTTTTTTGTTTTGCATGTTTTAGTATTATTTTCTATACTTTGAAAACAATGTTTGTAATATTATGGCATATTTTTTTTAATTCTTTGTAATATTATGGCATATTTTTTTTAATTCATTCATTACATTTTTCAATGATGTTCGTGTTTATTAATGTTTGAATCAAATTATGGTAGTGTTAATTGGATTAAAATGACTTTTGATTCAAAAAAAATACAAATTTAGGACAATATTTTTGCCCTAGATGCATGCGGGTAAATTTTCAGAGATGCATGTTTGAAATATGCATTTTCAAAAATGCATCTTCAATTTAACCCCAGAAGAAATATTTGCATATCTTCGGGCCAAGTTTTGGCAAAAATATGGTAGTTACATGAATTACAAAAGATGAAAAGATTTAAGATGTGTCTAAAGATGCATCTTCAAAAATATTTGAGAACAATTTTAGATTTTTAGAAGTGTGAGCTAAACCATAAGGATAGGGAAAGAAATCCCTTGTCTCTTTTATTTTGAAATCTACAAAAGATTTAGCATTTTTCCAATTATTTTATGGTCAAATTCACCTTATATACATATTCTCCTTATATCGCAGGAGATGAGTTTGAATTTATCCAATCTCTTAACTTTTATTTTAAGTTGACAAGATGTTTGATACAAAATAGAACCGTGTGCTTAATCAAAGTTAATTGATTGAATATCTTTTTTTGACACCAACAAAAAAAAGATTGAATATCTTCTTCAACACCAACAAAAATGATTCAAAATATATTCTTATCATTTTTCAACACCAACAAAAAAAACAATTCAAGATATGTGTTTAATTCATAAACTAAATGATTGAATATCTTTTTTTTACAGTTTGCATCAGTGATTCACAATACAAATTCATCTGGCACTGAAGTTTCTGCATTACTTGTTAACTGATAATTCATCTAGAAGTACAGAATATACAGAAAAAATTGCTACAGTAGTTGAAATTTAGAAGTTCCGAGTCTTAAAATGAAACTATAAGTGGGGGCATTTCAACTCAAGAATATTCCATTCTTTCACAAGACTGAGTTATCAGAAATTGCATGGAATGAATAAATAAATAACCTATTTGGAACGTAAACCTGGGATATTTTTAAGACCCATCTTGCCAAGGACAAGCTTCGGAATAGCTGGAGGGCTATCAAGCCCCATGCATCGGCTGAACTCATTTGCAAGCTCCACTAACCTATATTTATCTTTCCCCACGTTCTTGTTAGAGTTGTAGTAACCAAGCCATGCCTGATATGCTGCTTCTTTATTCTTCATCTCCACGTTCGATAGAGCCCTTTCCACCTGTTAACAATTTAAAATGTTACTGCATTGTTGGAATCAATGAGTTTAATGAAACTCACAGTGGCATTATAATTTTGCTAAAGCTCTAAAACTTTGCTTTTGCCAAAACCATGGTGACACACCGTGATCCTGCCAAACTCGTAGCTAATCTAGAATTGCTCCACATATTGGTCTGTTTGTCTAAAAACTTGCTAAAGTATTGGAAGAAAATCAATAATTATTTCCCTTGTAAGTATACCTTTTTCTTAGTGTCAGGATCAACCAAAGGGACCGGAGCTTTCCCAATAGGTAAATCTTTTGCAGTAGCTAAAAAGTACTCTTCCCAAGGAGCTAGTAGCAGTATGCCCTGCCCTTCTTTTCCTTTTCGCCCCGTTCTACCTAGTCGATGTATATATTGTGCTCTATCAGCCGGTAGACCAACCTGTTCATTGTAGAAATGGAAGAAAAATGACAATTTGAAATTAATAAAAGCGTTAAATAATTGATCAAATCATAATCAAAAGGCAGCTTGCACTTTTAGCAAATGCATGTATTGAGTGTCCTTATAAATATGAGTTAAACAGGACATAAATTTATGTGGACACGAGCATGCTGGTAATATAGTCACAAGTGAAACAAGGAAGGAGATCCAAATATACCTGTACAACAAGAGTAACATCTGGATAATCAACTCCACGTGCGGATACATCCGAAGTAACCAAGATGAGACCCTTTGACTTCCGGAATTCATCAGAAACTCTGGTTCTATAACCCTGAGCCTTTCTTGAATGGATTTCTCTGACATTCAAGTTCAACTCCCCAAGGAGATTAGCAACAAGTTTTGTGACCATAGCAGTTGTGCAGAAAACAAGAACCTGATAAACCAATAGCTACATTACATATCCTCCAAATCCATGTAAACATGAATGTAAAAGTTAAACTTTGTTGTCAAATCACAGTTTACTAATCCAAAATACTAATCTAAACAGTTCATAGTGAAAGGACAAAGAAAAAATTAAAATACAGTTGGTTGCAGATTAGAAAGCAAACCTTGTAGTCAACATCATTTGCAATGTGCTCCTTCAGAATAGCATAGAGTAAAGGGAAATGCTTGTCTAATGGTGCAACTAAATGCATTTGGCGGACCTGAAATGATCCAAAGCACCATAAATAAAGATCCAAAAAATGTTATATGATCGCTGCATATGCATATACACATGTAAGTATCTAACAAGTTATTATTATCATGAAATTATAAACAATCACCTGTGAATGTGTATCCTCACTACCCTCCTGAACTGTATTAATATATTCAAAATCCCTTTTCATAGCAATATGGCAGACTTGGCGCACCTTCACAATCATACTGAGAGAATAAGTTCAATGTGGTGTCTTTTATAAAGCATGAATCATCACAGCTAAAAAGGAAAGGGACAAAAACAAAGAAAGACAAACCTCGTCGGGAATTGTTGCAGAAAACATAAGTGTTTGTCGTTGTTTAGGGATTGCAGCGATTATCTTCTCAATATCTTTACGAAATCCCATGTCTAGTAAATGATCAGCTTCATCAAGCACCAAGGCCTTCACCCCCATAAGCCTGGATGCAAAACCAGCGGTATTTTCAATATGATCTCTAAGCCTTCCAGGTGTAGCAACAAGAATCTGTACAAAAAGCAAACAAATAAAATTCAGTCTGGAAAACTAGTTTTAAGCCATCAAAATGAAAGGTGATTTTCATAGTCATTTTTTAAAATAGAAATTAACCCTTGAATATGAGTTCTGACTTTTTGTTAAAACAGTATAAAAACAATCATATTACTCTGCATCATTATAGCAGGAAGTTTAGTACTGTAGGAATGGTTCGGGATCTTCTCATTTGTTTGATTATTTGCCTTATCAAAATGTACAGGGATTTTATTTTGGGGTACATGAGGATGTGCACAAGGCTTAGGCCTAGATAAAATAATTTTGATGGCAAAGAAAAAGCTCTCACCTGGCAAGGATTTGCTTGCATGCGTTTCTGTTCTAAAGCAAGTCTTGTTCCTCCAATCACAACTTGAACACCTAAGGTAGGATGATACTTAAGTAGTTTAGTGGCTTCGGCAGCAGCTTGACATGCAAGTTCTCGGGTAGGACATATGACAAGAACAAAAATTGGTGGTCGCCTTTGATCACGGTCACTTGGTGGAGACTTCACAACAATTTCAATTGATGGAAGCTGAATAAAAATACTTCAAAAGTAAGTAGAAACTACTAATCATTGCATACTACACAAGCAATAGAACAATTAACTAGTTTGCACATCAGAGATTTTGGTATATCATTGAAACTCAAATAGACTTCTTTTATATTCTTATGTAAACTAAACCCTAATAATATTCTAAACAGTTTTACATATTGTGATCAACATGTAACTTCCTTTAGTACTTCCACTGCAAACAAGCTAAACAGAAAAGGGGATACTAGTGGCTTATAGCATACCCCGTGCCTGGAGAAAAATAGAGAGAGAAACAGAAATTCTGTATGTCATAATAAAACATAAAAAATTCAGGTCACAGAATTAAGTAAAGAGATCCAATTAAGTAGATTGCTTATTTCAGAGGTAGCTTAGGTGTTTACACATTTACTGTACCTTACTTTAAGTGATGGTTGAAAAATGCTAGTGATGATTAACAGAGAGGTCATTAATTACTAATGCACTCAAACACACACAAAATTAAGAGACTTACCAAAAAGGCTACTGTTTTTCCCGTGCCTGTTTTAGCCTTGGCTAGGACATCCTTACCTAGAAATGTTAATTGGAGTAAGTGTGCCATCATACATAAACAAAAGATACGTGAGAATAATGTCGATCAAATCATGGAAGATGATACTTTTTTTGCTTAATATTATCAATTAGAATAGCTTCATGTTTTGTAAACTGAATACTTATGTAGTTATATACAATAGCAACAAAAAGTATAATCATAGGAAAAAGATCCTATCCCAAATGCAAGGTTGGAAAAAGTGAAAGATCACAAGCACACAAAAATGACATAATATCTATGAAAAATAACAAACCTTTAAGAATTACTGGAAGGGTTGCCTCCTGCACGACAGTCATTTTCTCATATCCAGCATCCTTGACTCCTTTTAAGGACAGTGGAGAGACTGGACACTGGTCAAATCTGGGGCATCATATCTCAAAAAATCAGACATACAAAATACAGGAGCAAAACAATGCAGCAAACTAGGATAGGAAGGATCAAGTATATGTCAGATTTAAGAAAGATGGACTGAACAATATGTATGTATATAAGCACAAGGCTCGCCTCTCTCTATATTAGTTTTATGCCTATCCTCCCCCTCTGCAATTATACAACACCCCACACCAATTTCCAAATTCAAGCCAGTAAGAAAACATGCAATTCATTGTCCTACCCATCCAACATCTTAATCAATTATATAAGCTAAGAATATAGTGCTTCTCTGATTCTTCTAATATTCTTTCCCCAATCTCCCACCGCCGCCAAAAAAAAATGTTCAAGTCTAATTACCTAACAGTAAGCCACTTATATCATGTGTGTATGAGAATAACAAGTGTTCCACAAGCTAATATTCACAACATTGATGGTATCGATGCACAGTTCCAAAATCATTGTTGAGCCCTAAACAAAAAAAACACCCTCTCATTCTTCGGTTTCTGTTTGTTCTACATGTAGTTTTAAATTGTGGTGCGCAACCTCAATTACATCCACAAAATAATAACGGTTTTGTATACTTGGCGAATTGCAGCCGCATTTGTCCAAAGTATACCATAATATAAAGGTTTGCAGCATAACAGCATTATCGGCCATAATTTAAAACTAAAATTATAATATTCAATAGCAAATAAACTAAATACAATTGCAGATAAAGCAACAAACATTAAGGTGAAAAATCTAAAAAAACCGCCTATTTATTAAAACAAACACACAAAAAACACACCTGGATTCACTTAAATAAGAATCACTTCTATCAGGTAAAACAGGTGTAGGAGTTGTTGTTGTTGACAACCCACTTACTTTACCAAACAAAACACTTTTACTCTTGTCAACAATCTGCTCATCACTTTCTTCTCCTTCAAACTCATCTTCAGTTTCTTCTTCACTCATAAATCTCCCAATACTTCCCGAACCACCACCACCACCACCACCCTTAAACTTCCCTCCAGCCACAACCTCATCCTCAACATCACTACTATCACTCAACGGAAACCTCTTCTTCGAATTCAAATTAGGTTTCCCCTTCCTAAAATCCTCACCTCTTCTTTGCCCGAGACCAGAACCCCTACTAACAACATTACTCTTCCGTGACCGGAACCCGCTATCTTTACCAGCACCAGCACCCGGTCGTATGGTGTCGGCTGTACCGCGACCGGTTTGCAAATCGTCGACCCAGTTACTAAGGTCAGCCTCGTCGTCAACGAGGCTTTTGGAAGCCCTAATTCTGTCTGGACGGACGGAGAAAGAACGAGGACGAAACGCGGCGTTGCGGAGTGGGAGGCGAGAGAATTTGATGAGAGATTGAGAGAGAAATGGAGAGTGGGGTTTTAGTGGTTGGAAGTGAAAGAGACGCATTTGAGATAAGAATAGTTTTGTGGGCATGGTAATAACTGTAAGGGAAATGGGAGTTTAGAAATTGTTGTTGTTCACCAGAAGGAAGAAGAGGGTTTTGTAGGTTAAAGGGTTTAAGGCAGTAGTTTCATTTCATACAAGATATGATATGAGATTTTTATTTTTTTTTGGAATTTTGTGGGGTGCGTTGGTTGGGTTTATTTGAGTCTCAAGTTGGAAAAATCGGTTTAATGTTTTGAGCCGATCCAACCGGATGATCGTTGGGTTAGTCTTTTTTTTCTTTTTCCTTTTCGGGAAACCAATGTACTTTTTACCTGATGGATAAACTAGTGTATTAATATAGTTCATTGAATCACTTCAAGCTATTGATTAAACGGCCATTTGTATTAACTTTAAAGAAAATGGAATTTTTTTATATTTTTATAAAATAAAAACATTTTTTAAAATGTGACACGTTTTTTTTAATTCATTTTCTATAATTAAAATATTGATTTTGATATTTGTAATATAAATATAAATATAGTAGAAATCATAATTAAAAAATATATATTTCAAAAATGATTTTTATAAAAAAATAATTTAAAATGGCTTCAAATGTAAGGGATTTTTTAAAATTTTGATATCTAAAAATTTTTTAAAGTAAAATGACGAAATACATAAAATTGTGAAATAAGTAATTCTTTGTGTTAAGTATGTTTGTAGATGCATGTATTTGATAAGTTGGATAAAGTTTTATAGTTGTAAAAGTTGCATGTATTTTGACAAAGTTGAATACAACTTGTAGTAGTCGAAGTTGTATGTATTTTGAGATTATTTAATAAGTGAGTAATTTCATTGTAAATAGGATGACACTTTGTATTTGGAATAAGATCAATATATTCTTCTTTTCTCTTCCAAAATCAATACTCTTTCAATACTATCTTCTCTCATAACATCAAATTATTTTATTTCAAATCATTGTGCGAGAGAATAATATTACAACCAAGAGTGTGGTTGAATCACTCGAGTGAAGAGTGTAGAACAAGATCTTGCATGAGAATATGGACACGAAGAGGTCTATAAGAGGGTTGAAAATACCCTTTTTCCCTTTAAGACAATTTGAAAAATATTTTAGGTCTCATAAATGAAATCAGAGATTTTAACAAGTGAGGAAGAAGAATACAAAAACAAGAGAACTTGAAAGCATCTCAATGAATTAAACCAAGTGAAATAATACATGATAATACTAAGAGCTTGATTACTTCTAATGCAAGTCAATCACAAGATAACTAAAGTCGCTTTAAACAAAGTGGTTTGAAAACTTCACATAGATATTCTATCAAATCACAGTTGAATTCATGATAATTTTATAAGATTGATGCACCACAGACCTAAGCTTATACTTGAAATCTCTATAAGCAAAGTCTAACTTATGTGACATACAATCAATACAATTATACAATATATGCAATAGCGATATTAATGGATGCTAGTAAAATAAAGGAGTTAAAAGAATAAGAAAAAATACACAAGGATATATAGTGGTTTGGAATTCGGTCTCGCTTTGCCTACTCCACTCTTTAATGGTGTTAATTAACCACTGGAAAATAATCATGATCTTCCACTATTTTGATAATATTGATACAGGCATTTTGGTTACAACGAATTATCACACGATAATTCCCTCTGTTGATACAGACACTCAAACTACTAACAAAAACAATATCTCTAAAAGATCTTGATTTAATAACCTTATTATTCATAATAACCTACTCCGAGTATTTGTGTGTGGCAACCCACCTGATCCCACCAATTTCTTGTCAGAGTGATTGTCATTAACTAAGCGTTTATTGGACAACTTTTAAATGTGTATGTGAGCAATCTTTCTCCAACGCCACTAAAGAATAACAACTTTTAACTCTGCCTTACAAACCGTTGATACTTGATCTCACCAAAGACTTCCTTGGAGTATATTGAAAACTCTCTTCTTAATCGATAACAAAGAAGACCAAACTGCGCTCAAGAAATGATGCATGCACTTGTTACAAACAAAAAACTTCAAGCAAAAACATTAGATACCTTAATGTACCAATAATCTCCTTAAACACTCAATCTTTAGAGATGAAGGTCGTCGACAATGGAAAAAGACTAAGGATAAAGATAATAAACAATGCCATAATATCTCACAAACTCATCTAAAAACACAAGGTGTTAGTCAAAGGATTAGATGAATATGAATGAAGAACACACACACACAAGGTTCTCTCATATGTGTAGGTAAATGAGCCTTGGTTCTTAATTGTTATCATGAGCTTGATTGATCATGTTGAACACACAATATTAATCAACTCACTCTCTCTCTCTAATTCACAAACAACTACAACAAAATTTCACAAGTACAAAATGCAACAAAAAAGTGAATCTAATATGGATTACACTCAAGAAGTTGTTATAGAGAATAAGATAAAACGTTAATGGTGTTGGGGTATAAACACACTAACTAAGAGAAAACAAATTGTATGTTTTGTCTTTGTGAATCTTTCTCCCCATATGTTTCACGATTTTTTTTGTATAAAAAAAAAACAAACTATTTAAATTTAAGATGGAAAATTGAATTTTGTAAAGCCATGATTCGAGTCAAGAGAAAATCATGATTCAAATCACAAGAAAGCATTATATGAATCAATGAGAGTAGAGCCTAAATACGACTTTATCAAGACACATGATTCGACTCATGGATAACATATGATTTGAGTCGCTGGAGTCTACTGTAACACCTTAAACTCGACACCCTTGATTTATGAAAATAATAAAACATATAATTCCACACATATGTTGGTGTTACACGTTCACGACATGCATTTTTTCAATTTGAACTCGTATTAAATAGCAGCAGAACATCAAAAGCTCAAAATAAAATATTTATTTTGTCTCAACATAAGTACTTAATGGAATAATTCAAACATCTTAAGAAACACATCATGTAACAAAGCAACATGTCCTAGTGTTATAAACCATAGCTCAACGAAAACTAAAAACACAATAAATAAATGATGAGGCCTCAATGTCGTCTTCCAGCTCAAATAGAAATTACTCTTTTACCTAATTATATATACTCTAAAAGAGCACATAACACTGCAAATAGGCAAACAGGGGTGAGAATACGTTCAAAATATGTTAACGGTGCAAATGATAGTAAGGGTAACATCACACATAACAATCATCAATGCATGAATTAATCACAACGACAATTTACGCATATCTCACCCAAATAGAATCACACAATCACCAATTCACGAATATCATTCACACAACAGTATAATAACTCGATCGTAAAATAGGTATGTATGCAATGCATCAACTCTTTGACTATATATGCATGTAGTACAAATTTTGACATCAAATGTACGTTACCGATTCCGTCCCATCACCGATAGTTCCCCCTTTTTGAACCATGAACATCGTCGATCCCACTTTATGAATCATGACTCGTCACTGGTTCTCCCTTCTGAACTAGTAATACAACTAGGTGAGAGAATTTGATTAGAGATTGAGAGAGAAATGGAGAGTGGGGTTTTAGTGGTTGGAAGTGAAAGAGACGCATTTGAGATAAGAATAGTTTTGGGGGCATGGTAATAACTATAAGAGAAATGGGAGTTTAGAAATTGTTGTTGTTCACCGGAAGGAAGAAGAGGTTTTTGTAGGTTTAAAGGTTTAAGAGAATAGTTTCATTTTATACAAGATATGATATGAGATATTTTTATTTTGGAATTTTTGTGGGGTATGTTGGTTTGGTTTATTTGAGTCTCAAGTTCAAAAATTCGGTTTAATGTTTTGAGTCGATTCAACCGGGTGATCATTGGGTTAGTCTCTTTTTCTTTTCTTTTCGGGAAACTAGTGTATTTTTTACCTATGATAAAGTAGTGTTTATGGTTCATTGAATCACTTCGAGCTATTAAATAAACGGCCATTTGTATTAACTTTAAAGAAAATGGATTTTTTTTTATATTTATAAAATTGATTTTTATAAAATAAAAATATTTTTTAAAATGTTACAAGTTTTTTTTAATTCATTTTTTATAAATTAAAATATTAATTTTGATATCTGTAATATAAATATAAATATAGTCGAAATCATAATTTAAAAAATATATATTTTTTATAAAAAGTAATTTAAAATAGCCCCAAATTTAAGTGATTTTTTTGAATTTTTTATATCTAAAAAAATTTAGAATGAAACGATGAAATACATAAAATTGTTAAATATTTAATTCTGTGTTAATCATGTTCGTAGTTGCATGTGTACGACAAAGTCAAATACAACTTTATAGTTGTCGAAGTTGCATGTATTCGACAGAGTTGAATACAACTTGTAGTAGTTGAAGTTGTATGTATTTTGAGATTATTTAATGTGCGAGTAATCTCATTGTAAATAGTATGACACTTTGTATTTAGAATAAGATCAATACATTCTTCCTTTCTCTTCCAAAACCAATACTCTTTCAGTACTATCTTCTCTCATAACTTCAAATTATTTTATTTTTAAATCATTGTGTGAGAGAATAATATTACAATCAAGAGTGTGGTTGAATCACTCGAGTGAAGAGTATATAATAAGATCTTGCATGAGAATATGAACACAAAGAGGTCTACAAGGGGGGCTTGAAAAGACTATTTCCCTTTAAGACAATTTCAAAAATATTTTAGGTCTCATAAATGAAATGAGAGATTTTAATAAGCGCGGAAGCAAAACACAAAAACAAGAGAGCTTGGAAGCATTTCAATTAATTAAACCAAATGAAATAATGTATAATAATACTAATAGCTTGATTACTTCTAATGCAATCAATTACAAGACAACTAAAATCTCTTTAAACAAAGTGATTAAAAAACTTTTCACATAGATATTATATCAAGCCACAATTGAATTCATGATAATTTTATAAGATTGACACACCACATACCTAAGCTTATACTTGAAATTTTTATAAGAAAAGTCTAACTTATGTGACATACAATCAATGCAGTTATGCAATATATGCAATAACAAT